TTAAAGCATTAAAAATTGTTGGCATTATTATGTGTGCCAGTCTGGAGCTCAAACTCAAAGACTTGGCACTATACCTGAGTTATTTTTGCTCATGCTAGTACTTGAACCAGAGTGCCTCCTATGGCTTTTTGGTGGTTAATTTGAGATAAGAGTCTCACAGGCTTTCCTGCTTGGGCTAGCTTTGAACCATGATCCTCAAATCTCATCCTCCAGAGTAGCTAGGATTACAGATGTATGATTCTGGTTTCTGACTCTCATGTATTTTATAACATTCAACATGAAGTGGATCTAGAAAAAGCTGTGTTTGGGGCTCTGTTAAAATTTGCCAAGCCTGTTAGGTTGTATCCTTTGCATTGACTTAAAAAAATTTATCACAGTGATTTATAAAACTTCTTTGTGTTGTTTACTCTCACCTATGCACCATGAGCAACCCCAAAGAATTGCTTTCATGAACAGTATTGAGTTAAATAAAATCACTGAGAAAAGCAATAAATGGGAGGCTATTACATAATAAAATATTTTTTATAGTTTAAAGAACAGTAGCCTTTTTTTTTTTTTTGGACAAGTACTGGGGCTTGAATGCAGAACTTGGTCACTATTCCTTAGCTTTTTCACTGGGTGGTGTTCTACTTCTTGAGCTATAGCTTTTTGGTGGTAAGTTGGAAGTAAGAGGTTTATAAACTTTCCTGCTCAGGCTGGCTTTGAACTGAACTCCTTAGATCTCAGCGTTCTGAGTAGCTAGCCACTGGTGCCCAGTTAAGAGAACATAAGTGTTTTTACTGAGCCTGTCTAATCCTGAACTGGGCCAGTTAGCTTTCAATAATTTTTCTTTAATTTCAAAGTTGGCACCAACTGGGCTGACAGCCATCAGGAGATACTAGCCTCAGAAGAGGGATACTTGCCAGAGTGAGGGGGACACAGAGGTGACACCTATGGCTGAGGTAAGTAAAGATTTTTTAGCAAGAGAGTCCACTAGGACACACAGATATTTCTTTTTTCTAGAGGCTTCCATTTCTTCTGACATGGTAATTTCTGGTACTTCATGGAAAAACACATGATCAAGCATTTTTTTTAAAGTTTACAAATTGAAGATCTTTACAGTAAAGGAGATCATGGCAAGAGCTCAAGCAAAGTCATTCTGAAAAACAGACCAAAATAAGGGACTCTCCTGGCTGGGAAGTGAGTACTGCCTATATATTTGTCCTTCTCTGGTATTTGCTGCACTGATGAATAGTTTAACCTAGATGACTAACCTAGATGTGTCCACAGTCATGGTAAACATTACATTTTCTAATAGTGTTCTCTCATCTATATGTGTACTGTATATATACATACATATAATAGTATATATAAGAAAGTATACATAGTATATATAAGAAAGTATACATAAGAAACCATATCACAGAAATGGTGGGACAAAGGGTGGACAAATTCAGCAGTGAAACTCACTAGACACTATGTTGAAAATGAACTATACAACAGAGAGAAGGGGGGAAAGGGTGACATTGTTCAAAAAGAAATATACTCTTTATCTGATTTATTCAACTGTAACTACTCTGTACATAACTTTTACAATAGCAATAGAAAATGCAGAAAAAAATCCACATCACTAAAAGTGTTTCCAAGACAAATGTATATATATATACAAATGTATATATATATTTATGTATGTAAACCTATATATATATATATAGATTTACATACATAAATGAACACATGGACACATGGACAAATCATTAGTAGTGGTTAAATACAAGTCTCATATTAATATGATTTGTAATTGAAGGCTGCTTCTTTAAAAAAATGTTTCTTTTTCTGTTATCTTTAAATAGCTGTAAAAAGGAGTTGCCATTTAACAGAGCAGTTTATGAATACACTGTATCTCCATTGATGTCACCACTTTCAACATTCTTTTTTTTTTCTTGACACGGTTTATTTTAATAAAAAATACAGCTGAACATTTATTGCAGATTACATGAAACTATACACAATGACATTCTCTCTGCATAGTAACCAACACTGATGTGTGTACTTGAATTTTAAAATGGATTATTTATAAGCCTTTAAAGTGCAATTTATTTAAAGATTTAAGTAAATCAGAATACCTATTCATTCCTTTACTCTTTTATTGTTATTGTAAAGGTGATATACAGAGGGGTTAATTACATAAGTCAGATAAAGAGTACATTTCTTTTTGAACCATGTTACCCTTGAATTCATCCAGTTTTTCCCCTCCTGTCCTTACTCACAAGTTGAATAGTTAATTTTCAACATAGTGTCCAGTGAGTACCACTGTTGCCTTTGTTCAACCTTTGTCCCATCACTTCCCTGTCCCCCCTCACCCTCCCAAAGATTGATAAATGAGCAAACAAGACAAAAGGAAAAGAAAACAAAATCAGCAACAAAGAAGCCCGGGGTGCCGGTGGCTCACGCCTGTAATCCTAGCTACTGAGGAGGCTCAGATCTGAGAATCATGGTTCAAAGCCAGCTGGGCAGAAAAGTTCGTGAGACTCTTATCTCCAATTAACCACCAGAAAACCAGAAGTGGTGCTGTGGCTCAAGTGGTAGAGTACTCGCCTTGAGCTGAAGAGCGCAGGATAGCGCCGAAGCCCAGAGTTCAAACCCCATGACCACCAACCACCACCACCAAAAAAAAACAGCATCAAAGAAAAAACCCTCCTGTCTCCATTTCCTGGAGTTCATCTCAATAAATATTATTTTATATGAAGAGATAGGCATATAGGTTGTTCCTTTTCTAAGAATATCCTCCTTTGGTCTCACTCTATGTGAATGCCTAGAAATCAGTAAATTTTTGATAGAACCTTTTGAGGTTATGTTTCTGGTGATGGATGTTGAAGTATGGATTTGTAGCAGAATAAAAATTAAAAGTATATATGCATCTTTATCAGATCAGTCACCTCTTTTACTTGCTTTTAGACAAAGTAAGAATATGAACAAACATCCTGTTTTTATGGTGTGTTATTCCTCTCCATATCTTTAATTCCAATTTTTGCAAAAATATTGAAGAAATATTATTGATTAGAACTTCAGACACCCAAAGATTTCTCAACAGTCATGTCTTCAAATCCAAGGCCAAATGCTATGATTCTCTGATCAAAGTTTATTTTCTTACCAAGTCCAATCTAATGCTATAGAGGGAGTAAATTTTCTGGCTCAGTTTAGCCTAACCCAAGTTCTCCATCCAAATCACTCGAAATTAATTTTCTTTTTGATGCTAAATACTATCACCTTGTCATAGAAGACCTTATATTCCATTATACCTTTCTTTTTTGTCCACTTAGAGTTATCATCAAGAAAGTACATTTCTGAAGTTATTTCCTCATCTGTGAAACAGGAATAATGTCCTCTATTTCAATGTTGTGCCATCTTATCTGTGCTACAAGAAATGTACCACATGACAGGAATATTCATTACTTCAGAATAACTAAATATTTCTTTCTTGCTTTCAAGTATGTGCCTGGATTTATCTTAATACACCATAAACATATTTATATGTAATATATCACAGTCTGCGTTCCAAGGTAAAAATGTAAAGCACTGACAAAAATGTAAAACACTGGCAGTTATTCACCAGACTTTAGCTTTAAATTCTCTTCAATCAAAAACTAAGCAAAGTCTGGGTGCTGGTGGCTCAAGCTTGTAATCTTCGCTACTTGGGCAGTTCAAAGCCAGCTTGAGTAGAAATATCCATGCGATTCTTCTCCCCAATTAACCACTAAAAACCAGAAGTGAAGCAGTAGCTCAAGTGTTAATGAGTGCTAGCTCAGAGCAAATAGTTCAGAGACAGCACTCAAACCCTGAATTCAAGCTCTAAGACCAGTGCGCATGCACACACACAAAGCAAACAAATCCAAACAAAACAGAAAAACACCCCACACCAGACCAAGCAACACCAACCAAAAACCTAAAGCAAGCAATAGTGAGGCAACCTAGAGACAAACTACAAGGATGTATATTGTTTGTGATACTCTTATGGAGGTAATCAAATGCAAGTGGTCAGATGTTACTTCAGTGGCTAGTGTAGATATACATTTACATGTTTCAGAACATTCTTTTAGGCATTATTAATGCACATTGTTTTCTTGGTAGTAGTGGTGATTGAACTCAGGGCTTCAAGCTTGGTAGGCAAAGCCCTCTATCATTGTCACTTGAGCCACACTTCCATCCTAAGAAATTATGGAATGCTTCATGAAGTTGCATGTCACCCTTGGGCAGGAGATTATTTTCTGTATCATTTCACTGTTATTATATGTACTGTTGAAGTGAGTACATATGCATACTATTTGAAAGAGCAGCCTTAGAATAGCGCAGATTTTCTAATTGCCATCATTCATTGAAGATATATAATATTCAATGTTGTAATGAATGGTAACCACATGAATTTGCTTTTCCAGAACAATACCAACATTTTTTGTATTTGTGTTACTCCAGTAACACAAAATGCAACATTTTCTGAGTTTAGTAGAGCTTTTTCTGAATAAATAAGCAAATAAAATCCTTTGGCATATCATATATACCAAATTTTGATGCAAGAAAATGATACACAAACCAGGCACGGGTTGCTTATGCCTATAATCCTAGCTACTTAGGAGGCTGTGATCTGAGGATTGTGGTTCAAAGCCAGCCTGGGCAGGAAAGTCATGACCAAAAAAAGAAAATGATACACAAAAATAATTCATGCACATGGGGAGTACAGTGTAGAAATTTCCCTTGGAAGAACCATTTTTTTTTTTTTGCCAGTCCTGGGGCTTGAACTCAGGGCCTGGGCTCTGCCTCTGAGCCTCTCTGTGCTCAAGGCTAGTGCTCTACCACAGCACCACTTTCAGCTTTTTCTGTTTCTGTTGTACAGAGGAATTGAACCCTGGGCTTCATTATGCTAGGCAAGCACTTTACCACTAAACCACATTCCTAGCCAAGCCCACTTTCTTAAGTACTCAGTATGGATTATTTTCCCATCCATGCCTATTTTTGCTACTCACCGAGCCCCAGGTGGGTCTGTGTTCTCTGGGAGGCTCCTCTGCTGGATTTTGGTGCCATCTCTTCCAGGAAGTGAGTAAACTCTCTGTACTATCACTCGGACCCCCACTGTATTCCATGGGGCAGCTCCCAGGCTTCCTAACATGTCTAAGAGAGAACTTCTTAGGGGAGTACCAGCTGCAAGATGCTGCTCTGTCTCTTCATGCCTGTGGCTCCAGTCTATGCGCGAAGTGGCTAGATCACTACATATAACCTGGCCAAGACATGCAAAGGAAGTTGTTTCAGTTTGGTTTATAACATATTGCTCACTTATAAACAATGTAATCCTACAGTGAATTCCTGCTATTATCCTACTTTATAGAGTTAAGTATTTCCCTTTTTTTGGTTTGCTCAAGAAAATAAATGAAAATAAAAAAGAATGTATAGTAAACATTATTATTTTGTTGGTGGTCCTGGGGCTTTAACTCAGGGCCTAGCTGCTGTCCTTGAGTTTTTGTACTCAAAGACAGGGTTTTACTTGTACAGGGGTAAACGCACTATATTAAATATGTAAGGTCTTATCTACGTGGGTTTGAATTCAGAAACTAATATTCTCTAAATAATGAAAAAAAAAAGAACAGGGTTTTACTACTTGATCCACAGCTCTACTTCTGGCTTTTTGGTGATTAACAGGAGATTAGAATCTCATGGACTTTCCTTGCTGTGCTGGTTTTCAACAGTGATCCTCAAATCTTTACCTCCCGAGTAGCTAGGATTACAGGAGTGAGCCATCATGAGTGCTAGGCAAAACACTGTATTTTTAAACAACAACAACAACAAAAGAATCATTTCATGATGTGCTTGAATGTAGAATCAACTACATTAAATATTTTGCAGGTTCACATATTCTTCCAACTACTCTCTATAAGTATATCAACAATCACAGGCAACACTCTTGAAGTGCTTACTATTATCCAGACTCTTTTCTTTATATATACTTACGTTATCCACACAATGACCAGCACAGCAGACAACATGATTACCCCATTAACTCAGATACAAAGAGACTGCCCAAGGTCACTCGGCATAAAGCAGCCTTTGCTTCCAAAGTGTATGCTTAGTCTTATGGCCATTTTATTGCTATGGTTTCACATTGTATAACTGTTTAAAAAACCCCCAAAACTTGGAGGATATTTAAATGTTACCATTAAATTGACTAGAATGCCCTTCTTTTCAAATAATCCTCCTAAATATTTCTTTCAAGTCAATGGGAGACTTTATGGTATGAAACAGGGTGAAAGCTGGTCTACCTTTTCTTTCATATTTTCCTGTCCTCAATCTGGCAATCTCAGTACTATGTGCTGTGGTGAATTCTGTAACCCAGAGATATTGACTCCCAGAGCTAAGTGTATCCCCAGGCATGTACTGTGCTCATTTACAGTGAATTTTAATAGTTTCTCAAATTAGCAGGTAACTATGGCTCAGGGTAAAAAATAGTTTAAAAAAATCTCAAGCTTATGTAGCTTTTCATATCTAGGGATACAGATATTATGGAGAATAATAAGTTTTTGAAAAGACATGAAGAAGTGTTTAAATTAAATGCTTAGATAATTAGAAAGGAACAGAGAAAACAGATATTTTCTTCTATTTTAGTAAGTCAGGAACATGAAATCCATAATCACATGCTACCTGAGCTGGCAAATATTCAGTTATAATAGAAAGATGTGGTAGGTAATATATATGTTTTGAAGAGGAAAAAATGTATATAGACTCACACCTAAGATCTTTCTAATCCACTCACAAATATTATTGCAAACATTAGCCCTCTTAGTCAATGAGACTTTACCTGGTTTTTAGGCAAATTATTTGTTAGATCCTTAATTTGAAAGATCTGGGCCAAAGTGATGCTTCTCCTTGGTAGGGGTGTATACATTTCATGAGTTGTTTTTGCATCTTCTTCGGCAACCATTTTCTGGCAAAAGTAAGCATTCAGAATAATAGGGAAACTTCCATTTGGTATAATAAGTTTCTGCCTGGAAAAGACAAATTTAGAGGCTCATTTGTAATTTGGATTCATCTTGTATTTTGATAAACCAGGAATGAAAACAGCAATGACACATTTGTTATAGATAGCTAAGACTAAGCCAGTGGACACAGTGACAATGCCCAAAATGACAGACAGATAAATCCAGGGACAGTCCACAAACTAATAGTCATCCCCAACAACAGACAGCTAGGGCCCTGCCTACAACAGAAGAGAGTAGCCCATAATGCTCAATTGTGACCTTCAGTGGAGTTGATCTTACTTTCCCAGTAAATACTTAAGAGTTTATTTATTTTTTATTTATTTTTTTTTGGGGGTCTGGTTGTGGGGCCTGAATTCTGGGCCTGGGTGCTGTCCCTCAGCTCCTCAGCTCAAGGCTAGTGCTCTACCACTTGAGCCACAGCGCCACTTCCGGCTTTTTTTCTTTTTTGCTTATGTGGTGCTGAGGAATTGAACCCAGGGCCTCTGGCATGCAAGGCAAGCGCTCTACCACTGAGCCACCTTCCCAGCTCCTTAAGAGTTTAAAGAGCCAGCAACCTAGAAACAGAAATGGACGCTGGCAAAAAAGAAGCCCCAGAAATAGTTATAGCAAAGCAGAAAAATCTTTTGATAACTCTCTGCTACAGGGAAACATCTACTCATAAAATACTCAGGAAATAACTACAAAATTTCAGGCATATAACTAATGGTGAAAAACCCAATGTTTTGCATCTACTACAGAAACAATCACTTTGATTCAAGTTAGTGTCAGAAGTTCAATTTAGTACCTGTTTGCCAATGCAATAAGGCATGAAAGAAACGAAAATAGCTAGTGCCAGTGGTTTCTTTCTATAATATTAGCTACTCAGGAAGCAGAGATCTAAGGATCGAGGTTAATGTACAATGTATTCATGCATGGATATATTAGAGTAAAACCCATTAATTTGGGCAATTATTATGTTACTAATAAAATACAGATATATAAAAAACTATGTATATAAGTAAAAAAATTATTCAGGCCCATCTGGCTCACTTCAATCTCCTTTTATCTAGTGAGTGTACGCACAATGTTACTACTGAGATGTTATAGTCCAAGAGAATCCTCTCAGAGTTGTTCAAGCTTTCCCAAGAGAGGCAGCTAGACTAGGGGAGTAAGTCAGGGTGCTTGAAGGGAAAAACTCAGACTGCTGTACAACAATCTCACTATGGAGTCAGTAGGTTGAACTAGGATGCCACACTACAACACTACAGTTATATCAGTTTTCTTTATTGACAGGAAGGGAAACTTTTAACTTTAAAAAATTTATATCCATTGAATCAGTTATTTTTCTAGATAGCATGATCCTTCCATTTATATCTATGCTATCATATACTGGTAACTGGTATGGCCTTTATAATAATCTCTGTATGAATCTGAATGCCACAATATTATGTGTCAATCAAAAAGCTTGAGGTGTATCATTAGGGTATTTGAGGTTTTTGGATCATAGTTGTTTGAGGAACTTCCATACTCATTTCCATAGTGGTTTCACTATTTTACATCGTTTCCACCAATAGTGTATAAAGTTTCCTTTTACCCACATCCTCAACAGAATTCGTTAGTTTTTGAGTTCTTGATGTTTGCCATTCTGACTGTGGAGAGATGAAATCTTAGTGTGGTTTTGAATTGCACTTCCTTTATTGCTAAAAATGTTAAAGAATGAAATGTCTTTTTACTTTTTATCACTGTCAAATGTAAAATACCTCATTAACAACTTGTTTAAGGAAATCCTCAAATTGGTGAGAGGCACTAACTTTTACTTTCCTATTAAGTTGGTCAAATACTTTCTATGTCTAGCAACTATTTAGGTCAAGAGTGTATATTGGGCACTGAATATGTAGGTTGGGACAATGTGACTAATATTAGATTACCTAACACCTTCAAAAGCAAAGTGAGGGATGGGCACTGGTGGCTCATACCTGCAATCCTAGCTACTCAGGAGGCTGAGATCTGAGAATTGCAGTTCAAAGCCAGACCAGGCAGGAAAAGTTTGTGAGACTCTTATCTCCAATAAACCACCAGAAAACTGGAAGTGGTGCTATAGCTCAAGTGGTAGAGCTCTTGCCTAGAGCTAAAGGGACAGCACTCAGGCCCAGAGTTCAAGCCCCACAACCGGCAAAAGAAAAAAAAAAAGAATTGTGGTTGCCAGAGTAACATCATCCACCTTTTATTTTCTTTTTATTGAGGACATGCTTGGGATAAGCTATTCAATTTCATTTACAACTCAGTCTCAATTGAGCCCCACCAGCCAGGATTGGAGGTAGATATTGTGCATATCTCCTGCCCTCCAGAACAGGTTGTTATGCAGCAAGCACAGTGTATAGGTGAGGACATGGTGATAGGTACACTGTGGTAGCCATGTAATGTGTATATGTATTTTGTTAACCGGCTTAATAATTTTGGGGAGAAAATTCAGTTTGTTGTTCAAAAACATAACCCTTAGAAAATGTTTTTGGAATAAATGTCACCCTTCTTGCAGCTATCCCAGGAAAAGTTACCATTTTCTTTGTGTTTTCAGTGACTTGTTAAAGTATCTATCTCCACAACCATTTCCTGAACTTTTAGAGTTACAGCAACTGTTTCTTGTTTTAACTTTAACACACTCGCTCTGCCTCCCTCTTTTCCTCCCCCCACCTTTTTTTTTTTTTTTTTTTTTTGGTCAGTTGTGGGCCTGGGCACTGTCCCTGAGCTTTAGTGCTCAAGGCTAGTACTCTACCACTGTGAGCCACAGAGTTACTTCCAGTTTTCTGGTTGTTAATTGGAGATAAGCGTCTCATGACTTTTCTACCTGGGTTGGCTCTGAACTACAGACCTCAGATCTCAGCCTCCCAAGCAGCAAGGATTATAGGCATGAGCCATCAGTGCCAGGTTCTTTCCTTTTTAAATTGTTCAACAGCATGTGACATTTGCAAAGGACTCAATAAAATGTTTGCTGTATGAATGACTATATAGTCTGTATATACGGTCTCCAAATTTGTTTCTTGTACTTTCTTACCCAGCCCAGCTCCACACGCCTAAGAAACTGATAAAAACACTGGATTAAAGGACTGTCATCTGTGATTAGTATACTATTTATAAATTCTCAGAGTATACTTTAATTCAATTCTTAAGAGGAAAAAAAAAGAACCACTGAGGAGCAGACCATAATTTACATGGTTTGTTCTGTCTGAAGAGGAGAGTATAATAAATAAATTGACACTAAGTTTCTCTATATATTTGAAGTCTAATTCTCTAAGTGTCCTAAGTGTCAAGACTGAACCTTTCCTTTCTTGAGACATATGGTCACTGGAAATGAATTTGAAGAAGGATACCATGTATTTCTGGTAATAGCTATAAACTTCATTTTCAAGCTTATATACTATTGAAAACTTTGCTAGAACTTAACAGAAAAAAATATAAGTAGCAAGTACGAAGAAAGAGGAAAAAGATAGTCTGAAGTCAGACCAACTGGTAATTTCAGTGTTGTGGGCTGGGAGTGTGCCTTTTAGAATACTTGTGTAAGGCCCTTGGTCCACTTTCTAGAACCACCAAAAAGGTGGTGAGGGATCCATGTTGGAAGTTTATAGTCTTATTTTATTTTGACCAAATAATTTCAATTTTCTGAATCATCTTTTCACAGCTAATGTAAGTATAATGCCTACCTAATGGTGTTGCTGTCAAATTTTATGACTACAGTAATATGTACAAGCAAGCCATGAAGACACACACACATACACACAAAATGTTTGGAATTAAAGCAATAGCCAATACTACTAGATAACTATCTAAAATATCTAGGTTAACTTAATTTCTCTAATGAAAAGGAGGTTATCATCGAAAAATTAGTTTTTATTTTTTAAGGTTCATGGATGTATATTCATTCCTATATACAACTGTGTAATTCTTAACAGGTTAAGAATCAATACCAGCTGGGCACTGGTGGTTCATGCCTATAATTCTAGCTACTCAGGAGGCTGAGATCTGAGGATTGTGGTTCAAACCCAGCCTGGACAGGAAAGTCCGTGAAACTCAAAACCAGCATAAAAATGGAAGTGGTGCTATGGCTCAAGAGTGCTAGCTCTGAGCTGAAGAGCTGAGGGACAGCACCCAGGCCCAGAGTTCAAGCCCCACAACCACCACCACTACCACCAACAACAAAAAAGAATCAATACAAAAGAGTAATCAGAGATAGGGAGAAAATTAAAAAAAGTTCATTATAATACTATTATAGTAAAATATAACAAAGAATCTAAGTTTCTAGGAAAAATAGAAAACAATAAACAACTATATAGGTTGGCATTAAAATTCTAATTCAGAAAATATTTGTTACAATATTATAGAAGATGCTCCTGTTTTATTATTAAGAAGAATAGACTGACTTATATGAACTATGTGATCCCAAGAGGGCAGGAGTATATACTATTAATTTAAATTTTTTTAAACAAGAAAGTGAATAATCTATACTCCTCAAATTAAGAAATTTAACCCCACAAGAAAGAATTATATACAGATAGCTTGGTGTCTTTTTCACACAATATTTTAGGAAGGGGGTGGTAGTGGTCTTAGCACACTTCCATTTCTGCTTTTTTGTTGGTTAGTTTAGAGACAGAGTCTCAGGGACTTTTCTGCTGGAGTAGGTTTCAAACCATGATCCTCTAGATTTCTGCTTCCTGAGTAGCAAAGATTATAGGTGTAAGCTGTAGGCTCCCAGCTAAAAATGGATTCTTCAAGCCTGGATATGTGAGATTACAGTTCAAGGACGGGCTGGACAAATAACTAAATAATCTTTGAGACTCCATCTTAACCAATGACCAGTGGTAGTTATGCATACTTTTCACCTCAGTGATTTTGGGGAGCACAAATAGGAGAACCATAGTCCAGGCCAGTCCAGCAATAAAGCAAGAGCCTATCTCAAAAATGACCAACACAACGGGAGAGTGGCCCAAGTGGTAGAGCACCTGCCTAGTGAGCATGAGCTCTAAGTTCAAGCC